TAGAGTCATCTAAATGAAATGATTGAAATCAACCCATATGAATACTGATGCATATTTCTTTTTACAAGCAACTCTTTCTATTTCCATTTATAGGACCAATAGCATGTTAACCTGGTGCTGTACCTGAAGGCGTGATAAAATTTAATCAAGCAAAAATTAACTGAAAAATATTGTGACAATTGTTGGAATACACTACACCTAGGAAAAAAAAAAAAACTGTCATATTAATGTCTTGAAATCTATCAAGCAAAATCTTTTGCTGGAAGCCACCGATGTATCAACTAACAAATCACCTGTGTCCCACTAACTGATAAGCACTGAATTAGACACACCAGTGGAACCTCGTATGAAAACAGCATTCACCTTTACTTTTTCACCAAAATCCTGCCATGGATAAGAAATGGTTTGGTAACGCTCATCCAATTAATTCCGGCCAAAATCATATCAATACCAGTAAAAATCTAGAAAATGAATATGGTGGGGGAGTTTATTTAACTCATATATATTCATACCATCCATTTATACGATATAAAAAGTTAAGTGGATTTGTAACTTGGGGGCATTATAATACACACACACACGGTTAACAATATGACATTTGTTAAAGAGGCAAAAGATATCAAAGGTACAGAAAAATCCTCAACTGAATTCACAAATTTCCCAGCTATTCATGAATCCATGATGAGAGTATGCAAGCATCTCCTTTCATATAATTGCATCAGCATTAAAGAACTAGCGATTGAAGACAGAGGAGGAAGAATGTTAGGGATACTGGTGATGGTAGTGCTCATGGGAATTGGGGAAAATGGTTTGTGTGTTTGAAACTGAACTCAGATCTATTTAGAGGAGCATCAGCTTTTCCATAGGCTTCTATAGCTTTACTATTAATTAGAAAATGCAAAGAGAAGATAGAAATACAGAATTTCTTCTGTACCTGATTGCTACCTTCCATGTCACACAACTCATAATTCCATCAGGTATCTCTAAACTAAGTCATATTTTTAATTCAGTCTCTCGATAAAGCAAGATCCTCCCATTAACTTCAGTTAGATGAACATTTTTCTCTCTGTCTTGCTAATCAGAGCAATGAAATTCCCCTAGTTATTTAATTTTTTTTAATGAACTAATTAAAGACAATTAAATTGTTGTCTCAATTATTCCATTATTTCTTCATTCTAAGTAAAAACTTGTTGTTTTAATTGAACCTACAAAAATTAAATCACGCTTACTAGTAAATTATAGATCAATTGATTCTTATACATCTAGATTTCCCTTTTTTCAGCATTCCAAAACTTCAAAGGATGCACGAAGCACTATCTTTTCTTTTCTATTGAGACAAAAATAATTACCAGACAAAAAAGGCAAACTACTAAACGAGAAGACAATATCAGGCCAGGAAATAGCAAAAAAAAAAAAAAAAAAATAGAGGACAGCAGGTCCCCTAAGAAAGATGAAGTTAGCCATTTCTTAATTCCTTATAATAGCAGCTTACCATTTATTTCAGCCTATCAGAATCTTGTCCCTGATTTACAGCGAGAAAATAATTGATGCTCTTGTACTTTGTTTTATCTATCACCTCTGTCCCAAGCTATTTTATTCTATGGATATGCTCCCGATTATTTACATGTTAGGAATCTCAGAACATTAGTCAAACTTCCCCTTCTAATTTCCTCTCGAACCATCTATAAGACTATGACAGTTTTCATATTCTATATTGTTTCCATTTCTAACTTTTTATAAGACTATAAATCTATAATAGTTTCATGTATCACTCCAAAGGTTGAAGCCACTTGCCCGATTAGCATAGCTATAAAACATCCAGAAAATTCCAACCTATGTATGTGCAAGACAGAACAGACACGATTGACAGAGAAATGCAAATTCCAGATTCCCTAAAACTAATATTTGTTAAACATAGCAAGAAACTAACCGAGAAACCTTCGACAAATGGCAAAGGCAATGAAAGGTTTAGGGCAATTCCTTTTCTAATTTCCTCTCAAGCCATCAATAGGAGTATAACAGTTTCCATATTCTATACTGTTCCCTTTTCTAACTTTCTATAACTACAATAGTTTCATATATCACTCAAAGGTTGAAGCCACTTTCCAGACTAGCACAGTTATAAAACATCCAGAAAATTCCAAACTATGTATGTGCAAGACAGAACAGACACGATTGACAGAGAAATGCGAATTCCAGATTCCCTAAAACTAATATTTGTTAAGCGTAGCAAGAAATTAACCAAGAAACCTTCGACAAATGGCAAAGGCAATGAAATATATTGGGGCAATAATTAACGCTAAAAAAAAATTAGCTAAACCGATAAAGAAATAGCAAAGGAAACAAATTAACAAGCATACCAATCTTGCAGGCGGATCAAAAAGCATTAATCAAATAGATCGTATCAGCATAGAAGCCGAAGGCTCGCTATTAAAGGAGGAAGAGAGAATGACAAAAGAATGCGGCAGCATTTAGAATAAACTGCAAAAAAATTTGAAAAAATTGAAGAGTGCTTACAAGAAGGCTTCTTGACAGAGGAAGAAGATGTGATATTTTGGTGTTACTCGATCCCCTGCGACTTGCCCTCGATATTTCTTTTACGTTGCTGCAAAGCCTTCGTTTCTCTGTTATTATTTATAGACATGTCAGGTTATGACACGATTAAAAAAAAAAAAATTGATTCATATAAATCACTTTAGATTTTTTAATTTATCTTGTAAAGAAACCAAAAAAACAAATTGTTAAAGAACAAAAATAGTCAACAACTTTTTCTCCAAAAATAACTGCAGTATATTTAAGTAAACAAAGGTGCAAAAATACTTATAAACTTATTTTATTGAGTTCAATAATTTCCATTCCATTAACTTTAATTGATGTCCATTTAAAAAGAAACAAACATAAGATAAAAAAATACTCAAAAATTTTTTTTAAAAAAAGTTTTAGCATCCATAAGTCAATAATGCTATATAGCTACCCATTAACTTTTATGAAAGGACACCTTTGCCTCTTTACTTATTCGGGCTAGCTCAATTTTTTAAATTGTTAAGTATTATTTTATTTTTTATAGTTAATTTTAATTTAATTTTTATCTTAAAAATTAATATTTTTATTTTTATCTAATTTTAATTTTATTTTATTAATAATAATAAAAAATATGTGAATTCAAATTAAGGGTATTCAATTTTGAGTTTGACCCCAATATTTTTGGCTTATTTGTAAACAAAATGCTTTATGCATTTGTTTGGTGGGAGAATTATATTGAAATCTCATATAAAAAAATTAATTACTGCAAGGTCAATTGACAATTGAACTAAACTGTGTTAACAACACAACTATTGTTAATACAGTTTAGTTTAGTTATTAATGAATCTTGTAATAATTAATTTTTTTATGTGGGATCTGGAATTATTTCATTTAAAATGTGCTAAAAAGTAAAAGCTGTAATTAAAAGGGTGGTACATTTTGTAAATACTCTTGCTCTATTTATATAATGTGTTTTTGACAATTTTCATGCAGATTAAGAAAACAGAAGGACAGATTCCAAAATTTATTCACTTATTCAAACTTCAAAGTATTTTACTCTGGGTTTATTTGAGGTACCTAAATAAACTCAAAGAAATTTAAGCCAAGCTCGAATCATAATGGGTTTAGCCCGATTCTTGAATTCCTTTTTTATTATTAATAAAATAATATAAAAATTAAAAATATTAATTTTTTTAAAAAAATTGAAATTATATAAAAAATAAAAATAAAATAAACTAAAATAATATTCAACAATTCATGTATTCGGGCCATCTTGAATAAACCCAAGAGATTAGGGTCAGGTTTGGTTATATGGATTTTTTCTACATGGTAAAATATTTTAAGTCCAATCAAAATATATCCAGCTAGAATTGAGATTGATCTGAATAGGCATGGCCCACCCAAATTACTGGTTCTACCTACAACTTTCATTATTAGACTATGGTGAACCATAGGAAGCCATTTATAAACACAAATTGAATGACTAAATGAGAAAATGTTTTTGCCAACCCCAAGGACCTCTGTTCTTTGTAACGTTCATATGACCTTCAGTTGTTTGATTCAATTCTTTTCATCCTAGGAAGAGAAAGGCCACTGTTTCTCAAGAACAAGAAAAATGAAAAACAGAAAAGAAAAGGAATTGGAATATTGAATCAGAAAGAGAACGACCTATAAGAAGAAAGGGATTTGCATTATGAATTTTTGGTACATGCATGCCAGATTGTTTTAACTAAAATTCTAAGAAAGGCACTAAATTTATGAGTCAAATTGAATGTTTGACTATTTTGCTTGAAAAATAATGTGCATTTTATTGTCACAGTATCTTGTTGACCAAAGATCAAGAAATTAGGCTGTGTTGTCTTTTAAGAATGGTATTCATTTGTTTCATATTATAAAATATTTTTAACTATCTCATACATAAATAGACAAAAGTTAAAATTAGTTGACCTCCTTATAAATACAGCACAACAATTTCCTCTCGATTCAGATTCTACAAAATGCAAGAAGAAAGTAGCTTTTTTAATATGTAAATAAGTTAACTAGCTTCTACATTTAAAACTGAAAGTATTTAAAATTAATCTTTATCTTTTTATTTATAACTCATTTCTAGTATTTTCATCAAAATTAAAGAAAACTTTAAATCTCATTAACTTTGTTTAAAAATTTAACAAGTTTGCAATTTTATCTTTATTAAATATATATATTTAAAAAATCATACACTCTAATAGTTATCAGCCTTCCTAACATTTAATAAGGGTAAAAAAATAATAATGGACATAATAATCATTGAGGTGGAATATAAATAGAATCAGAACAAATATTCTCTCCATATCTTATAAATAGGACCAGAGGAGTAACATATAAATATTCCTCAAACTGCCCAAAGAAGTTCACAATATTTTATGACAAATATTCTTTTTGTTTTCATATTCATTGCATAATGAGAATTAATTACATCCTCCATGGTATATTGATCATTAGATGAATATGAAGCTTGAAGACTCCATTTCTGGGTGAAATGTTACTGATGATGTAGTTGTGTCCACCATAGAAGGAAGCATGCTTGAGACCATAGGATCATTGTTTTCTGTGTCCAAATTCTCAAGATCTATGTATTTCCAAACATCATCTGAACTTGACTTTTTATTTATAATTTCATAAAAAGATGCGGGACCAGGAAAAGCATGAGAGATTTCTGATGAATGAGGATTATTGAACTGAAATTGATCCATGTTGTCGCTTTCAAGTTGTGATTGAGGAGGTTGAGGCAATATTTGTAAAGAACAAGTCATTTGAATTGACTCCATTCTTAATGGTTCTAACCATGTTTCCTTCTCAGTACAGCTATTCTTGTAGTTCTTATTGTTCTTGTAAATCTTACACAAAACCCAATCATCCAACTGCAGAAGTAGACAAAAGTACATAAACAATATCATTATCATTTAGAGAAAGGGAAATTTTTAATTTCGTGTAATCCTAATAATTAAAAATATCACAAAATTTATTAATGAAAACTATATGCTCTTTTTGGTGGTTCTATATATAAGTCATCTTCTAAAAAAATTGTTAACTTTTTTCTAAAAAAACTACATCACATGAAAATATGGACCATTAATTACCTTCTTTCAATTTTAATTTTTTTAATTTGGTGAAGAGAGAGACAATTTTTTTGTATTAATTATAAGATATGTCATCAATTTTTTATCACTAGCCTCCCTTTTTATCCCATTAAATGTTGATGAGGGAAAAAAAAAATTTAAAGTATGTGCTCCTTTCGATCCTATATATTAGGTGTTTTCTAAAAGCACAATTTAGTTCACTTTATAAGTCACTAGCTGATAAAATTATTTTGTTTTAAATTGAAATGTCCAAACTACCCTAGAAAAGCCAAAGAGAAAGAGACATAAAAATAATATTATATGATTTGTTTAGCTTTTACTTTTTACTTGAGAGTTATCTTTAAAATTTCACTTACTTTTATTCTTTGTACTTTTATTATATCAGTATTAATGATGTTGGCATAAATGAGTTATAAATAAGACTGAAGGGAATATATTTTAATAAAGGCAAAGTTAAAATCTTGTTAAATTCTTAGAAAGAAGTAATGAGCTAGTTTTTGAATTTTTTTGGAATGAGAAGAAAATAGGGAATGAGAGAAAATTAAAGGAGAAAATTATAAGGAAAAGGCATTTTTTACCCTTATTTTCCTCTCATTTCCTTCTTGAAGAAGAGAAAAACTGAAGGGGGAAAAAAAACTTAATGATAGGGAAAGAAAAAGTCATTATCCTCTACTTTTATCCCTTAGTTACCTCTCATTTCAAATGGAAGGTTAAGGTTTTCTATAGTTCTCTAATAAAATATATTGAAAGTTATTTATAAACAGAATCGGATGTTATATATGAGAAATGAGTTTTCTCTTTTCAAAAGATGATGCATCTAACATGGATAAAATGAAAAACTTTATTTCTCCAAACACTATCAATGATTCAACTAATTCTTCTTAATTTCAATGAAGTAGTTAATTGTAAATTACTTATGTATAAAACTCAATATATTACTAACCTTCATATCCAAAGGACTTGTTCTTGCATGTGTTATCTCATCCAGAAAATACTCACACATGATCCAATGAGTCTTCTTACTTTGCTGATAAGTGCCTTCGTAATAAACCAAAGTTCTCCATTTACCAATTAAAGTTGTTCCATCTTCTGAATGAATTGATTGACATTTTCTTATTGCCTTCCAGTATCCATCTAGTGTTGATCGTTTTGGCCTCTTTCCGTTTGTATATTTTCTATCTATTGGTGAGAAAAAGAACCACTCATTTTGTGATTCATACTTCCTATATTGTCCTGTGTTTATAATTAATTAATATAGAAAACACTATTAGTTTATTCATAAGATTGATGTGTTTCACAGCAAGAAATGATTCATTATCATTAACTATAAATCAAGGATAACATAACTTTTAATCCCTTATACTTGAGAAAGTTATTGATTTAATCCCTCAAGCTTATTTTCTATTGTTTTAGTTTTTAATATTTTATAAACTTATCTAAGTGGTCCTTTGTTTCATATAACATCATTAAATTATGCTTCCATGACTAATGGAATAATGATATGGCATCCAGGTATATTAATAATGTGGGAAGCAAGAATAGTGGCTCAGATTTTCAATTTATTGATCACTTTCTTCCTTAATGTTATTGATCTAATCCTGGCCTAAAATAGATTTCAAATTATGATTAGGTTTGATTCCTGTCTACTCTAGTTGCCATGTATTCTTTGTTCTAAGAATTTATCCATAATACTTTTAAGGATTTTGATATGCTATCTTGCTTTTTTGCTGTTTAGCCTTTTGCTCAATTTTTATATAACTCATCATAATTTTAACAAGTCATCACAAAAAATAACAAAGTTTATGCACAAGTTAGTCATTGTTAAGTCCTTATGATTATATTTAAACATATAAAAACTAACATTGTAAATAAATGAAACTTTAAGGACTAAGAGTAATGGAAAAAAGATACAAGGATGAGAATGAAAATATGCCAAAAATATGGAGACCAACAATTATAATTTTCCTTATGACAAAACATAAAGCACTTTTTTTTAAAATATTAATAAAATATATTGAATCATAAAAAAAAAAGATATAAAGAAACTTACTGGATAGCTGTTGAGGATTGAACTTGTAAATTTCAACTTCAATGATTGGGTTTGGTTCTAACGGCTCATCCATCACTTTCTTCTTCAAATAGGCCATAATCAGCTCTTGTTCTGTAGGGCAAAACTGAAATCCACTTGGAACCATTTGCCAAAAATCATTAATATTATCGTTTTCACATATTAATCTTCCACTCTTATTCTCTCTTATTTCCAAAAAATCGTTCATGTTTTGATCACTTAGCAAAGAAGATGATGAAATTTTCCTCTTGTTCATCGTATATATGTGGTTGAAATTCGCAAACAATTTGCAATATAAATTAAAGAGTAATATAGATTAAAACGATGTGTTTTGATTTACAATGTAACTCAAAGCATATAAGAGAGGCATATTAAATAAAAAAAACTAATCGCCTTTTATCAATAAGGAAATGAACTAAAGTTTTAAGTGCATTTTATTCAAGATTAAAAAATAAATGATCTTTTAAATAGTTTATTGGTTTTATAAAAAATAAATATTACCTTATATTTAATTACAATAATAAAAAATTATTATGATTTAGATACGTTTAGACTTTTATAATATCTTTGTGATACCTATTTACACAAAAAGAATTTATTATTTAATTATTTTAAAATTTTAATTTATCATTAAATTTTTATAGCACAATCTCTCTCATCTACCGATTACTTTCAAAAACTATTAAAAAAATTAAAAAAATATCATAAGATTTTATAAAGTATTTTTTTTCCAAAAAAAGAATAAATATATTTTTCATGAAAAAAAAAAATCTTAAAGACCGTCCCTCTCCCACAAGCTCGTTGATGACCAGACCATCAGATTTGAAACCCTTCAGTTTTGCCTCCATCTTCTCATCCTCCTTCGTCGTCATTTCTAGAATTTCTTTTATACTTTTGAATTAAATTGATTTTTTATTTTGGAATTAATTATGGTGGGGGAGAAGAAATTTTGGAAGGGACGAAGATTTCAGGAAATTCGTTCCAAAAAGGTCTCTTCTATAACATTTTTTTTGAGAGGGGCATTGCCGTCTTTTCATTTTTTTAAATCATAAAAATAAATATAAAAAATTAATTTAATCTTAACATTTCTAATACCATACCAAACAAACATATAATAATCAGCATTACATTCTATTCCATTTTCTATCATTACATCACCTATGATTCAGTGAACCAAATGAAAGGGGAGGTAGTAATTTCTTGCTTTAAAGGCTTCTTCACAACCAAGGAACCTCATATATACAAATTAATAAGATCCTCATATCAATAATAAATTTGATTCTATGACTATATGAGTCATGGACTAAATTTTTATCTTCTAGTTCAACTCTTGTTGGTAGTGTCATAGTGTTTGAATTTTTGATATCTACTCATACTAGGCCATATATCTTTCTTATCTATATATTTTGTAACACAAGATGTACAAAGTATTTGAATGCAAAAGCAAAAATATAAAATAAAGAAGAGAAAATAGAAATGCTTACCTGATCAGTTGATCAATCGGCTTGCCAATTGCTCTTGATGATATTTGTTCAAGGATCTTGTGTGTTTGTTTCTCTCATATTTGTAGACATGTTAAGTTTTGAAAGGATAATGAGAATAAAAATAAAAGATCCTCCTTAATTATCTTCTATTTTAAAAATTATTTTGAGTTTTAAATTTTAATTCAAATAAATCAGATTTAATTATTTTAGTTATCGAATGCAGATATAACTATATAAGGCTTTACAAAATTTCAGTTTATCATGGTCCTTTTTCCCACTGGGAATTCCCTTTGAAAGATAAACAATAAGTCTACGAGGTCAAAATTGGCCAAAAGAAGTCCGCAAAGTCAAAGACAATCTTCATCTTCAAATATTTAACAATTAAAAAAATTAAATAAACTGAAAAAAAAATATAAAATAAAAAAACAGTTTAAATAAGTCTACCAAAATTTCTCTTGAATTAACTAAACAAAAAATACATATTCAAAGATTTAGTTCTTTCATCTTGGAAAATGTAGTGCAAAATTTAAATTTAAATAAAAATTATTTTATCAATCTGAGTACGATTTTTTGAAGATTCCAGTTTTTCTAAAAAAAAAAGTTCAAAATGATCAATCTCGAAATTAAGATGTATTGACTCTAACAGATTTATTACTACTACTAATACTAATAATATATAAATTGAATTAACTAAACAAAAAATATATATTAAAAAAGTTAATTCTTTCATCTGGAAATTTAATGCAAAATTTAAATTTAAATAAAAATTATTTTATCAATCTTAGGACGATTTTTGAAGATTCCTGTTTTTCTAAAAAAATTCAAAATGACCAATCTCGAAATTAAGATGTATTGACTCTAACAGATTTATTACTAATATAATAATAATAATAATAATAATAATATATAAATTGAACTAACTAAACAAAAAAATATATACTAAAATAGTTAATTCTTTCATCTTGGAAATTGTAGTCCAAAATTTAAATTTAAAATAAAAATTATTTTATCAATCTGAGCACGATTTTTTGAAGATTTCTATTTAAAAAAAAATTCAAAATGACCAATCTTGAAATTAAGATGTATTGACTCTAACAGATTTACTAGTACTACTACTAATAATATATAAATTGAATTATCCTAATTTTAAAACGTCGGAAGCGTTTTAATATTAAGGAAAATGCTTCAAACATTGACTTTCTAATTTTTCTATATTTTTATGAATGGAGAAGACTTGAGTACTAAATTTGGGAAAAAATCTTACACCATCTTGGTTACACTCTTTCTAATAAAAATACACCAAGTCATATTATTTTAATCCTATGTAGCAACCTCTTAATTTACAATATTTTAGGATAATGGTATAAATTTAGCAAAAGCTATTTTTCAAGGAGTAATGTGTAACACTCTCAAAATTTTCCTCCAAATTTTTACAAAAATACAATTAAATGATGACACGTTAACAATTAAACATTTACCATAGTAGAGAAAGGTTTACCATGATAATAAAGAGTAAAAATATTTTTTCCAAAATCCTACCATGATAAAAAAAGGAATACCATGATAATTAAAAATAAAAATCATTGTTACAAAGTTTAACATATAGTAAGAGCTTCTTTTATAATAAAATATTTCTTAAAATAAGTTACCATGGTAGAAGAGGATATATGATGATAGAAAATATTTAAACATAATAAAATAAGGCTACAATGATAATTAAGAGTAAAATCATGGTAGCAAAGATCTTTCTACCATGATAGAAAGAATTTTATAAAAAGTAAATCCAAAATCTTGCTATAATAGAAAAGGGACGACTGTGATAATTAAAAATAAAAATTATTGTTATAAAGTTTATTATGGTAGGAAAATTTTTTCTTATCATAAAATATTTTTTAAAATGAGCTATCATGGTAGAAAAGAATCTATCATGATAAAAAAGATTTAAACATGACAAAATAAGGTTAACATGATAATTTAGGAACTAAATAAGTTACAAAAACAAATATCAATGGAAAATAATGTTAAATAAAGTGAACCTAATGGTGTCACGTTGAAACCAATATTGATTGAAAATCATAATTAAATAAGCACGAATAAAAGTTGAGAAAATGACTAAAGTGTACACTACCCATAATAAGCACACTGAAGTTTAGTCAGATAAACTACACTTTCCAAACATAAATTTAATTATCAATACCTAATATGAGCTCAAACAATACTTTTCACAATTTAATAACATGACCAAACCAAAGTCCACTCTAGGGTGTACAATTGACCACAACACATCCACATCTAAGATCATTTAGGAAACATATCTCAAACAAGAATGAAGCAAAACCACAGTTGGATTACAACCAACCAACGCAGTTGTCTAGTCATAACTAATCAAATCCAAATTCTAAAATTCATTCATAGGATAATTGTTCAAAGTAAACAATAAGAACCATGAGAGATAAACAAAATCTCATGGCAATATACGTAGAGTCAATCAATGGCCATGAAAAACAGATAGAATCCTCATGGTGAATAGAGTTAGTGTCAATCCAAATATAGAGTCTACATACTCAATTGTAATTAAATATTTCTCTAGGTTGGCAAATATTCATTACTTAACCAAAAGAGGCTTTGTCCAAAAAAAAAACCAAAAGAGGCCAAAAAACAAAAAGGATTGGTGTCCCATGCAAATCTAAGCATTTGGTGCTTCCTTGGCTAAACTCACTTCTATTATAATATTAACAATGAGGAATGAGACACAAAGATTCCAATAACTAGAATTAATATGTAATGATGTATGTGATGAGATTAATTATACGATTACTAGCTAAGCATATAAGATTATTTTCCATACATATTATATCCAAACAATATAGACAAAAATACTTTTGCATGACAATACTTTATATCCTTCCATACACTGTGCTTAAAACCAAAGCACCAGTCAAAGGTAAGTTAGCCCAAGCTACAAGCCATTCATTTGGTCCAATGAGGACTTACAACATGGTAAAATAAACTCAAGACAAAATCCTCAACAACACAGATTTCAAAAACTGACATGTCATGTATATTTCAATCATTTTTGAACAAAAATATATCCAAATCAGTTTCATATTTCCTAACAATAATATTATATCAAACATAGTGCTCATGTACAATTAAACCCACTTAGCAATGAATTTTTCCAAACAAAAATATCTTCCTTCCACACAAACATAATTTGCCAAACACAATAAAAACCACACTTAACCAATGACACCCACTCACCCACCATCACATATTAATAATGGTTATCATGTGGCTCAGTCAATAAGTTCCCCGTCACAACACATCTTTCACCATTTTTGCATGTGCTGTTACTAATGATACAGGTATGCCCTCTACAAAAGGAAGAATGCTTGAGATCATAGAATCATTGTTTTCTGTGTCCAAATCCTCAAGATCTATGTATTTCCAAACATCATCTGAACTTGCCTTTTTATTTATATTTTCATAAAAAGAAACAAGACTAGGAAAAGCATTAGAGATTTTTTATGAATGATGATTATTCAACTGAAACTAATCCATGTTGTTGCTTTCAAGCTGTAATTGAGGTTGAGGCAATATTTGTGAAGAACAAGTCATTTAAGTTAACTCTATTCTTAATGGTTCTAACCATACTTCCTCCTCAGTAAAGCTATTCATTTACTTCTTATTGTTCTTGTAAATTTTGCATATGACCTAATCATCCAACTACATAAGTAAAAAGAAAAAAAAAGTATATAACAATATCAATATCTTTTTTAGAGAAAGGAAAATTTTCTATCAAGAGTAATCCTAATAATTTAAAACACTACAAAAATTAAAAATCAAAGTTATATACTCCTTTCACTTCTATATATATGTCATCTTCTAAAAAAATTACATAGCACAAAAATATAGAACATTAATTAATTACCTTCTTTCAATTTCATTTTTTTTCCCAATTTACTAAGTAGGGTAAAATGTTGCATGCTCCTGTGGTTCCATTTGCAAGATAGAGAAAGACTTTTTTTTTTAATTAATGATAAGACATGATATTGATTTTTTATCACAAGTTTTCTCTTTTACCCCCATAAATGTTGATGAGAGAAAAAACATTTTTTAAATTTTGCATATCTTAATAGAGGTAAAGTTGAAAACTTGTTAAATTTTTAGAGAGAGTTGATGAGTTTTAGGCTTTGTTTGGAATAAGAAGAAAATAGGGATGAGAGTAAATTAAGGGAGAAAGCTGGAAGGAAAAAAAAGAGACAATTTTCACCCTTGTTTTCCCCTAATTTCCTTCTTAGAGAGGAGAAAATGAAGGAAAAACTTAAAAGTTAGGTCAAGAGAATGTCATTTTCTTCTATTTTTACCCCTCAATTACCTATCATTCT